TATTTTTAATGCCGAAAAAGATAATTCTGGCGCAATGGTCGGCCGGTGATTCACTTTCCTAATTTTCACTATTGGCCATAGCACCGTCGTCGAGGGGAAATAGACGTTTTATAAGGTATAGAAAATTTCGATTTTATTTCGAAAGGTAAAACAATTTTAGGGCGTAAAGTCCGTTCCCCAAACACCGGTTACACGTCTTCGGTATTACATCGATGTTCATCTAGTTCCATGTCGATTAAGATAAAGCTCAAGCTCCAAAAGTATGCCTTTATGAATTAATTTAAACGTTCAATTATTAGGTATTGAAAATCTGAACTCTGGAACAAAATCAGTTCAAATGTAAAAAGAAGCAAGATAGATGTTATACTGGCGTTACTTCGGACCTTCGGGTCAAACAGTTATGAATTTGAATTTTTTTTTTTTACTAATAGCCTAATAAACCTACCTATTTATTGAATTATATACTGATTTAAAACACTGAAACAGTATGCAAGTAGCATCACGCAATATTAAATATTTATAGTAGGTATATACTGTATAAAATGTACACTCGCCTTACAAAAAAAGTGCCATTTTTTTTTAAAAAAAAGGTATCTACAATAATCAATAAAATAAATAATACATAATGAAATTATAAAAATTTAATTCCAAAAATCCAATACCAACATTTATCAGATAGAACTAAAATTTGATATTTAAATTTTACTTTTATTCTTAAGTGAGGACGTAATACAGCGAATCTTTTAAATATAGTTGAAATGTTGTCCGCTAGTCGGAGGTGTTCACTATTCCGAAATTTCAGTTTGAAGAAAGTTTGTAGTTGGTTCCTAAAAAACGTCCGCTACTTGAAGGTCCAAACTACTTAGAAGTGTCCATTGAGGGAGGCTTTACTTTAATAGTAATAATCAACGTAATTTGTATTATCTGCTTGCAATAATATATTCTGTAATAACATAATTATGTATATATAATATTTTGTTTTTTAGACTTTAAAGTACAAAATATAATATTCCATAATATCTACATATTTACAATGATGCAAGTTTTACCATTTCTCTATTTTGATCAACTAAAAATACAATAACACAAATACACAATAGTACAATAGTACTTTTATTGAACTACGATTTAAATTAATTTAAAAAATATTAAAACAAAATATTATATTATACAAAATTATAATAGCAAAAATAAACCTTTTACCTTAGTCAGAATATGATATTATAATAAAGGATATAAATAAAGGAACCAAGCCACATAAAAAAAAACATATACCAAGATTTATAATTATATTATACTCAGATGTACTCTTGGGCAATATACTATTGAAATTAAACTAATAATAGTTAACAAATTATCATACAATTAGAGGGAAATTTAATTTTTCAGAATGATTGAAGTTTGAAAATGATATACCTCATTAGTAATTATTTTATCCTAAGTTTAGGATATCATCTATTTACCATATTGTTGCCATTATTTGATAATAACAACCTAATTTAAATTTATTTCTGAAACGTTTCTGATTTTGAGTTCCAAAAACCTCAAAAATAAGGACTAACAATAATTATTTCCAAACTAATCAAACAAACCTAACTACCTAATATTTTAAAAATATCCATAATTTACTTATCAAAATAAAATATATTAATGCAATATTATTTAGTTTGGTAACAAAAAAGGTAGGTAGTAGACAATATTTTCTGTGTTTTTTTTTTCCAAAATTTACAAAGGTACAAAGATGTTCTTCACATACAGTCGTCTTAACTGCCTCGATCTCCACATTTGGCTTGATCGACTCACCGGACACACATTTATTTATTTTTTACACTCTTCTTTTTTTTCTACGTCCGGATCTGTGCTTTTGCAAGTGGCCGCATGTGCGTGCAATTTTAATCGTCGACCCAGGGTCACAGAGATACTTCATAAATGAACGTCTTATGATAAGCCAAAAAAAAGTGACCATTTAGTTTTTTTTTAACAATATTAATACATATACACTCGCCCAAGTATTGTTTGGGGGCCGAGTGGGAGGCGCGTTTCGTCAGATCCGAGCTTTATCTATTTCTAGCGGGACCTCATGACGGCGACCGAAAAAACGTACCATCCGTTATAATTCAGTGGCGCGAAGGGACCGGCTCAAGCAACAAGACGGTTATCAGGTAAATAACACAATATTTATAATAAAACTTGTATTTATTTTTTCCCCATCCTATAATAACGCCTCACTTACGTATTATTATTATTAATTATTTTTCATAGTATTTTTTTTCCTATTTATAACAGCTTTAAATGATTTTATTGTTTCATATTTTATATTATTTTAAAACACATAATACAGTCGAGTTACTTGCACCTCGATCATAATTTTTTTTTCTTGCCCTTTGAAGTGTTTTTAAGTTGTGCTTGAGGTATATAACTCGAAAAATACATAACGCATAAGTCAAAATTCTTTATATTCCCCTTGAAATTCTAGTTAGCGAGATTTGACTGTATGTATAGGTGTATTGATTTAAATTTTATATTCTGGATAATAGTTATTGTTTTTTATTAATTTTTTTTTTAAATCGAGGTTTATTTTGTTAATTTAAACAATTTATGGAAGAAATAAATAAGTTCCTCTTAAAATTGTAATGGTTAAACATTATTATAATTCGATTAAGTTCAAATTAATATAAATTTAAAAATGTAATAAAATTAATAATAATGTCGGAACATTCAGATTACCTATTAATTTAGAATAAGCCGTCATAGTCATAGTTTATAATTAACAATAATTACTTGGAATTAAAAAAATAATTATATTAGTACGCTTACGATCTACATATAGTTAATAATTAAATCTCAAAACATAAATAAAACCTAACACTTCAAAATATCAAGCAATACAATTAATAGTCAATGAAATGTTTACACGTCAGAAAAGACAGTATAAATAATGATTTAAAACAATGTAGTAAAAAATTTAACGCGAAACGACGGTACGATACAATCGTTGATTTTATAATTGGTCTAATCGAAAAATATTTAAAGTTTCGTTTCTTGAATTCATCTTATAACAATAATAATACATCTATACAAGTCGTGTAAAAATTGTTTAATAATATTTTCTTTCCATTAACCATACATACGAGCATAGCCTAGTTGGCGGACTTTCAGTAAAATACAATTCGGGTTTTCCCTTTTTCGGTCAGTGGGCTTTCGGTCTGTTTGATTGTGTGTCCGAAATAAGCGAAGTGCAAACGAACGGTGGTTGGCCCGGATTCCTCGGGTTTATTATAAGTCTTGGCCACCATCCATAGTCCGTGTGACGGCGGCAGATTAGTGGTTTGCGGGATGTCTATCTTTAAAGTCTACTAGTTTGCACAATACTAAAGACCGCGAAATGTAAAATACCGACGAGAACTATTATCGTACAATATTAGTATGATAATATTTCAATAATATTATTATTCTTTTTTGACTTTTTAAGTGCAACATGTAACTATAATTTAATCTCTGGCTGATAATTAACTTGATCTGTTATACGTTTTTGGTAAGATAATTTCACTGAATCTACCAAACACAAGATTAGCAAAATAAGATAATAATGTAATGAGTCGTACTGAAGTCTTATCTGAAAAACGTCGTAACCATTGTGTATTAAATATTTTCAATATTTTATTTTAATAATAATATAATATGAACGTCCAAAAGAGTAATAGTGTATACCAACAAAGAGTTGCTTAGAATATAAATGTATCTTAATAATAAATAGTAGAACAACTAATATTGTGCATAATAAAATATTAACAGTATTTTTAAATATGAATATGATATCTTAAACCCTATAAATATGTGAACAATTTATTACCTATTCAAAATTTAAACATAACAATTATTAACCATCGATAATATGACTCAATAAACTTTGGGAGTGTAAAATTGTTGGTACGTAATTGTTACCTATCGCATACAATTATTGTAAATCAAATTTTAAATAAATAATTCGACAAGCTATATACAGTACAAGTATTAGTATTAGTTAAATTGCTGAAAAAAATAAAAAATGGTTTGAAGGTTCCTCGCTTATTCGTGTGCGTTGTGGAGGCAAACTATCGTATACATTCATGGTCAAATACGATGGATTTCGCTTTCAGATTTTGTAAAAACGTACTCGAGAACCCTAAAAAAACTCATAACCGTCCTTAGACAAAATAATATAAATGGGTCTCGGCTGAACACGGGGCTACTGGCCTAACCTTTCTCAAGGAAAATACTTGACCCGGTGCCAATGCTCAACGTCTATTTGTACACAAGTCCAAAAAACCATCATTTGGCTTCGAATTTACGCATGCATCAGTCAATAGCCCGTTGAATAATTGCATAATCTTAAAAGATGTTCTAATTATAATGAAATTTAATTGCTTTTCCAGACAGTAAAATTCGTTATCACCATATTATTGTTAAGTTCATATCCAATAAGTTAACTGTTAAAATATTGATATAATATAAATTTAGGTAGGGATTTATTTTTTTAATATCAAAAGATGGATCTATTATTATTACACTCCGAGATATACGCGTTTGTAAATAACACAACCTCGGTCGATAACTATAATGCCTAATAATAATATTATATCATATAGCAGCCGTCAACAGCTTATTATTATTGTTATACTTTTATTTTCGAATAAAAAACAAAGTCGTTCTTCTCATCTGCAACATCCGTTGATCTTGGAATTTACGGGAAAGCGAATAACAACCAGAAAAGAAATCAAAATAATAATAATAATAGAGCAAAATACATCAAGGTCAAATGGCCAATAAACAGGCGTCACTTTTAAAGATGCGTGCAAATTACGGTATAATAATAGAGCAGGCTGGGGCGGTGTATGCCAAAAAAAGCCCACGGAAAACTGTCGTGTAGCCCCCAACGGTTTCCAGATGCCAATTCTGCACTTGAGTTTCGTTTCTCCCTCCAATCTCACGCAATATTTATCATAACGAACACTAATTTATAAATACTATTCGGCCAAAACAACAATACGTGCGTAGTTCGGGAAAAGCCGATGATAGTATCATTTAAATAGGAATCTTCAGTATACTTGGAACTTGCGTGGTCGACTGGTGTGGTACATTTATCAGACTCACTTACAACAGGTAACCGACTTAACATTTGAAACGGAATTATTTTTCATACCGTTCATAATATTTTATTATCATCTCTCGACATCCAAACAAATTTAAATATTGTTTCAGTTTTAATCGGTTTTGATGTAAAATGCATTGGAAGTTTACGTAACTAACAATACTCACATTCGACAAAATATTTAATCTACCAATAAAACAATAATTACAATAATATTTTTCCAATACGCTGCGGGATACGAGTGGAATTGTGTTGACACTTCTAAATAATTTAAAGTAATTTTTAATTTGCAATAATAAATTATTAATTTGAAATTAAACTTTATGTTTTGTATACAAAATATCATGGTGACCACGCTGTCGTGACCAGAAGTGCCGTTTAAACTCGTTGATCAAACCAAATAAATCTACAGTGACTTCATATTATTTTTTATCTTCATCACTTATTAACTTCAATGCTATTAAACACAAAATATAAGTTCAAAAATATTTTATAGTTTATTACTACTGTAGAGTGCTTACAGTTAAAACTTGTCTTCGATTTTATGGAAACAATTTTTTTTTTTTAGAAATAGTTCGAACTCTATAAACGCCAATATAAACTCGGTGCAAAACGTAGTACAAGTATATTGAACACTCAAATTGAGTTCTTAATACCGACGCGTTTTCTAAATGTCATCCAAAGAAGTGTACAGTAGTTGCAGACAAAGTGTTTCTACAATTGACCGTTCAAACCCTGCGTTATTCGTTTTAAACTGTAAATCGACTGCGCGCCATACTCCTGTTTCACTGTAATTGTGTGTCGGTCACACGATGGCTTACCCTCGTCACATCCTCCAGATTGAAGAGGGTCACAAACTCACAACACCTTCCTACAATACATATAATATGTATATATATATATATATATATACGTCTAAAAGTAAAGACATGTCTTTTTTTCTTCTGTTTACAGGAAGTCTCTCGTTTTTAATTCATTACACCGTAGCCACAAGTCAATCACAAGAACACGAAAATGTTGAAACAACACCTTGACATGATCGGCAGGAACGAACCCATCCAGAGGAAAGCCAGATTCTGGCAATCCTACGTCAGAGCATTAAAAGGTATGTGTAATGTATGATATTATTATTATGGTTAGGAGGCCGTCGTACAATTTTTTTTTTCATTGTTATATTCTGTCCGCTCGTCTGGCTCATTCAATTTCACATGAATAATAAAAAAAGTTCTACTTTCGACAGTTTTTCTGATCGTATGCGTGTTTTGAGACATTCGGCGTGTAATTCAAGTTATTTCTGGTGGTCGTTATATTCTGACCGACTAAAAACAAACAACGACAGACAGTTAAATTTATTATCAGTAGAAACTTGGATGACTCGGCTTAAATAGTACCTACATTGAGCACGTTGCAGTAAAGACCATTTTGTTGTAAAACCATTTTCACGTTGTCACAACAACTCGTAGGCGTCTTTAATTGGAACGTTTTTTTTATTTTAAAATAGATTTTCGACATCGTTAAAACACTGTACCGCGTCCATTCGAATAAAACTAGGCTAATACATATTTTATGTCGTCTTATTATGATTATTATTTTTAATTTAATTTATAATATTAATTGAATTACAATTCACGAAAATTATAGGTGTATGTAAGTAAAACAATGTGAGCCAAATGTTCGTAACGGTACATTTAGTGATAATTCAATTTTTATTCGAAACAATTTTGATTTTAATATACGAATCAACTTACTGAAGACGAAATGCTCAATAAAATCTATTTATATCCATTTAACTGTGTAGCATCGCTCGCCGGGGTACTATTTTATTAACAACGCATTCCGGTACGAATAATTAAATAACTACGCTTTTGATTTGAATAACTGTTCCCTAGACGTCCTTATGATCGGCAACTAAACGTACACAAATGAATATCTATTGTACGATAAAAGGATTTCAATAGAGTTTCGACAATCCAATAATAAATGCAAATCGCTGGCCATTTGGATGTAAACGCTTGTTTTAATCAAATCCGCAGTCGTTTTTCTGCTTTAACTATATTGGGTCAACATATTATAATATATAACATTTCCATCGATTGCGCCAATATTAGAGGTAGTTTTAAGAGGGGCAGAAGCCTAGTCCTAAATTTAATTTTTCGTTTTAAACTCGGCCCGATAATTTTAAAATATAATAAGCACAACATAATTAATTAATCTTAAAATAATAAATAGGTAACGTTTAATTCCCCTCTATTTATAGTAGATCCCTTACTTACAACCACTTAGGATGGGAACTTTCTAGAATTTGTACACCACTCGACCCCAAACAACAATATCATACTTATCGACTGACTACATGATCTTAAATATTATTATTTAAGACGTTACGTGCCTAAATATGTATATTTTTTAAATACATTATTTTATTTGCAAATAATAATGCAAATTATATTTTTAACTTTAGATTTAATAATAATATTGAAAAGAGTTGCCTAGAGTTTTTTTAAAAATTGTATTAAATGTTTATTATATTTTAATCTTTTTTCGGGGAAAACATCCTAAGACGGGGGAAATGTTCACTAGTCGGGGGGAGTGAGTCCAGGGGAAATGTGCTAATGTCAATCACATTTCGGCGTTCTAACAATATGGTTTCTGTTTTTCCCTTACGCAAACAGGATCCGACGACATGAGGGCACCGGAAATCACACACTACCACACACCCGGCAGGGGAGTGTTCAGGCCCATCTTGAGCGCCGACTACCCGACATGGCCCAGCTACAAGTCCATCTACGACGACCCAAAGCACCCGTCCGACAGAATCAACACACCGGGATACCGTTACCTGCCAATCTCCAGAGACACATACGGCATTTCGCCCAGGAACATTTACCCGCACAACTACCACTCCGATCGCTACCCTTCATACGGTACGTACTGATGACGACGTCGCCGAACACGCAAACCACCGCTATATAATATAATAATATAATATGTACCGCTATAATAATAATAATAATAATAATAATAATAATAATACTATTTCTACAGAAGCTATATATAATATTATTATAATCTCTGTACACAACCAACAATCTAATCAACAGCAATAATATTAATAATAGTAATAATAATAGGGCATGATAGGTAGGTACGACATTGATCACATTTCATTTTTATTTCTGCAAACGATTTTCGAAAAATATTGCAAATGTCCCGTGCCGTCACGTGCCGCCAAAGCGAGAATACTGATATATTATAATATTATGTTTATATTTTGTTTATTGTTATTTTTGTTATCGCGGAATTTCTATATTTGTATACCCCACTTTGGCACGCGTCACGTCCGGCCATTGCAGTTTTGTCCACACTTTCTTCGTCCATTTTACACCAGCCCTACCCATCGATCGGTGTAATAATAACAACTACTGTAATACTGCGAACGACCGAGATCGCCATTCAATAATGGCATAAAATTCCGTACACGTTACGAATTCTATTTCAAAACGTCCGTTGAATGCTAGGCACCGAGACAATCATTATTATATTATATCATATATTATACATCTTTATATGAAAAGGCAATCTCTTTTGTTTTTGTTTTTTGTTTTTTTTTTTCATTAAAATTACGGTAAATTTATTAATTTATTATAATTATTTAGATATCGCTTAGACAGACGTATAGGTGTTATCAGAAATAAATATTGTAGCGTATATTGATAAACTATATATTATTTTATACTCCAAAAGTATAATACTGTTACCGAATTCTGTTTTGTATTATGTATACAATATTGTTGTTGTTGCCTTTATTATAATTTTTTGTTTATATGATTTAATTATTTTTTTGAAATATAATTACTTACTATTTAAATATTTTGTTTCGCTATATTTTTGAAAACCCGTCACGCATGAATAAGAAAAAAAAGGCACCAAGTACCAAACGTGCAGTACTTATGTCCAATAAAACATCATTCGATGATGTAAATAAAAAATTCTTACAGAAAAAAACAAAGATCATTATATGTACCAATATAATAATAATAATTAATAATTATTATTATTACGTTCAAACAATGGTTTTACTAAAGCTTCTTAAAGCCCGCTACTGCTTGGGTTCACAGAAAGTAATAACGTGATCTAACTTAATAATTGATTGAATGGTAATTTATTTTTGTCATCTAAACACGCAATCTAAACCCAAAGAAGCTTTCACACCATGTATTTATTAACTACGAACCATTTTAAGCTTAATCGATGCGAGTGAGTACATACATAATATAACAAATCAATACCGCTAAGGGACGGATGCCTAAAGCTGCCACTAGCTGTCGGTAAGTATGTAAAATATTATTAATTTATAACATAACACAGTGGCGTATCCAGGATTTTGCTAGAGCCGCTGATAGTTATTGGATATTGTTACCTAGCAGTTAGGGATAGCATATGCCGAAAACGGGGGGTGAGGTGGTTGGTGTACTAAGCCCTCCCACCAAATATTCAGTTTATTAATTGTGTGGGATCGAAGCTCCCGCTCACACTGGTGTCAGAAATTTTAATCTCCTCTGAAATGGCTGAAATCCCCTCAGCCTATGAAGGAGAGGCTCACCTGGGATCTCTCAAAGGTTAGGCAACTTTAACTATATGCTGGGTATATACAATTTCAGACATTTGTAGCTACCTTATTCATTCGAATCACAGTTTTAATGTATGGTTACGTCTTACGCTTAGTACTTTCACAGAACACTTAAAAATCATTTTTTAGTTGTCCTGAAATTTCGGGATGGCCTGCAGCTCTCTCACCTCCTGGTTACGCCACTGACATAACAATATAATTCCCAATATAGTTTCCGTCGATAACATACATTATAATAATGTCTCTTACGCACTCTGCCTATACACATTATTTAATAACCAACCTAAGTCCTAACGAGTGCGATAAATGATAATAACGTGGACTTATTATATCCGTGTTCAGATCACTATCACAGCGAACCGTACAAAGCGTTACAAGACTGGACAGATCATTTGGATCGCATGGCAGAACTTAACAAAATATTCCCCGGAGACCACCCGGCGTACTACGAACCAAAGAAACCCTTACCGCTACCGGAGAGACGAGCAACATCCCTACCGCCCGTCAGAGGTTACAACTTTTCAGGTAACGTTATCCGAAACTGTCATACTAAGTACTGAGTATATTATACTACAGTACCAGTAATATAATGGGTATACCTACTAATTATTAATTTCGCTCAGGATGTAAAAAAAAGCCCGACATGAGCTTTGGAGGTGTTATAAATCGTTGCATTGGAAAAACATTTCTGAACCATGAACCGGGTAAAACAGAGATCACTGACATTTCATTAACAACAAATTTTGAAAGTTAAATTTTAAAAGCAGAAATGAACATTTAAACCTGATAGAATCCAAGCGGAATGTAAAAACTAAAATATTATTTTGTCGTCTTATCTCTGTCCCAAGTAATAACATAATATTATAGTGATATAGTAAGCAGAGATCATAGGTTAGGTGCACGTGAAATAAGATCATAGATATTACACTTTCTATAGTGTTGGTGAAAACATAATATTATTATAAACAGCGATAAAAAGGCTTAATGAGATATTCATTACAATGTAACACGCAGTTTATCAAACAGGCTTTAACGCATATTATATTGTTCGACTATTAAATACGTATAGTACTATAGTAAATTAGATATTAACGACGGGAAACACGTTTTGAACACAATGAGCGTTTTTGTGTCAAAAAAATATTGCTGTCAAAAAAAAAGATATACATCGTTAAGGCGTACGACCATTTATGCATTCGTCGTCAGTTGTTCGAATAAGTATACTAGACGATTCATTTAACTCGAGACACTCGTTGTTTAAAAAAAGTAAAAACTATTATCGTTTTATGAAAGATTTGTTTTTCATCACGGCCCAAGGAAAGTCCCAGGCACAAACGAAATTTGACCAGCGAAACTTTGAGCCCTGCATAATCTGTATTGTATAACAATAATATGTGGTTTTTAATTTTGTTGTTGTTCTACAACAGGTTTACCTATTTACTCGACCGGTGGCGTTAAGAGACGACCACTGTCCGAGTTGTTCGAGCCGAGTGTGTACACACCGAGGTCCAGATACGTCCGGGACCCATGGTGGTGGGAATACCCACATCTGAAACCATTCACTCCGGTTAGTTCATCGTACAGGCCACCCGCAAAATCTTATCTGAGGAACAGTTACTTGTCACCGGTGAAAAGGACCTACTTGTGGGGACACCATCCCATCAGGCCGTTCAGTGAGTCTTAATGAAAAGATATTGTTGCTTATTAGATTTATATAATTCGTATTGAATTATTCACAGCGATTAGTTTGTTACCCACGATAGACTAACCAACCAATATTTAAATTATATGCCCTGCGTTATTATTATTAATATTATTTAAATATATAATGACATCGAACAGTACGCATACGGAGTACATTATTTATTCCAATAATGAAAGTGTAGAAACATTTCTATAATGGTCGCTCTGTGTTTATTTTTCAGCTCCGAGCTACTATTATTAAAAACAAAAACAAAAAAAAAAATGTCTCAAAAAAGTACAAACTCTATACCATGGGTCAGCCATCATCGTCTCCATCTACTGATCGAGTTCGCACATGAAACGCCAAGCAAATAACGCAATTATCGTGAGAAGCTGAACAGTCTAAAATGTAATAATTTATTTTTATATACATCACTTCGAAACACTTCAATCCATCAATTGCATTATTTATTATTTATTAAATGTATTGACACACATATTGCGCTTTAATAAATAAACAGAATCCGGAAGTCTGTTTTTAGCGTTTTAATCATTACTCAATAATATACACCACACATATTATATCATCATAAATACATGTTAACATTGTACAAATTATTGGCATGTTAATTACCTCGTATGCGTTTAAAAATAAACCATCTTACATTGAAATAAACGATCACTCACATATTATTTTAATGCAACTAAACGATTATGGCTCCAAAACGTCATCATTATTCAAATTGTACATTCTCATTTGGTCCATTATTTATTTATTGGCTTACATTTCGCAACCCGTACACATATTTCATCGTTCTCTAAACTACTACTGTGAAGTACGATCAAATTTGGAGTCAAAATAAAAACATTACCTTATGATAGATATGTAAGAATACAAAAAGATTGAAGTCTGGAAAGGATAACATAAAAAATAAAAATTTTAATTTAATTTAAATTAATATAAAATGCAATTAGTGTATTCTTAAAATATTGAAAAATGATAGCATATTATACTTAGGTAGTATACATTAATAATAGACCACGTGATTGTAATATTATTATATTACCAACATATTATGACGAGTCTTACAGTGGATGAATCACCACGACCATTAGGTGATGTAGATTGGTATTGATGCTGAATACTCTCCGTGGCTGGTGGAATCCAGATATTCTAACGGCCTCGTGGTGTTGTGTCAATCCTACGACGAGCTGTTTCCATTCAATTATTGAATTTCACATAAGTTACTGCGTAGATGGGATCAAGCCGGCTTAAGAGCACTCGGAGACCAAGGATAATGGGTTATGGGACCATATCAATGCTAAACAAATTACAATCTTGCAGTACTGATCCGAGTTTGAAAATTATAATTCTGCCATATAAATGTAAAAGCTTATAATTAATAATGATATATTAAATTATATTATACCTATTATATAACTGTATGAACAACGTAAAGTTAATCATAGAGTAATAAAAATTAAATTTTAAGTAAAATACAAAAAACAACAATTTTTTATAAAATAACATAATTTAATATCTCAACACTTTTTTACGTACAACATAAAATATAACTTAAATATAATGATTAATGATACAGAATTAACACTTATACAACAATTTTGAATACTTATTAGTTATTATAAGTTATTTTTATAAATTACTACTTCTATTCCATTATGTTTTCAATAAAATAATATAGGTAATTTTAAAGTTAAAATGTTCATGAATATTGCTTAAACATTATAAGTAGGCGTATGTCTTGTATTGATAAAATAACAGAATTTAAAAAAAAAATGTATTATTTAAATTTTAAATTGATATAAATAATCATAGTGTTCTAGTTAATTATTATATTTGTCCAAGTTCAGTGTAAATGTTGGATATAATAATTTCAAGATATAAACAGATTTAGAAGTATTGAAGATAACTTATAGAAGCTTTAACACTTAATTCTTTATGACTTCCGTCTATTTTTCTTTTATTTACTCCACTGTTAGGTATAACAGGTTATAAAAATTGATTTTTAAATACTCTAATGTGCAGTAATGTGTATCTGATTTAATGCACTTTTACTTAATGTTAAATATTAAATTAATTAATGTAAGATAAAAAAATAAACTATTATTATAATTATTGTAGTAACTATCGAATATTTTTATAATTTAATATTGCATTAACTAACGTGAAAAAAAGTATACATAAATATTCTAAATATACGGTAGTCAAAAATACGGTTTGATAAATAATACGGTAGAATATAGATATAATAGGTACGTATACAACTCATTTCAGACGAATACATCATAACATTTTTTTTCTTTAATTTATCATAAGATTTATAGCCGTATAGGAACCTAATATCATCGAAAAAAGTTCAAATTTCCACTTAAATTGTGAGCTACAATCACTGTGAGTTTTTTACGTTCGCTGGGCAATATTGAATCTGCTTCTCTAAGACCAGGTGGAGGGATAGGTATTTCAAATGATTGTTGCATGCAGCATATTAATAGACTGTTAACGACCTAAGTTGAGTTAGTAGAAGTGAACAAGGTTCGATAAGGAAATTCTAGAGTTAAGTGTTGATTCCGGAATTTTGGTTCCAATGTTTTGGACCACATTTTACTTTAATTAATTGGTCGAAGTTATTGGCATGCTGGAAGTGGCTCTCGGTATGCAGATCATTGAATGTGTAATAAACTGATTTGTGGGGAAAAATAGACTCATTCTTTAGACTATCGATTTTAAGTTGCATTATATGATACAGGCCATTGATGGTTACACATAACTACTAGTTGAGTGTGTCCAGGAACCGAAATTAAATTAGCTCAATCTACAAATGGAAAAGAATATGTTGGAACTGATTTATAGGAACAATACTTTTGAATTGTTAGTTGAAAAGCTTGATTATCTTGATGAGGATCGCTAGCTGTTATCAATGGAACATTACCTAACATTACGTTAAAAGCAACTTTTAGTCCTGCAAGAGCTTGGACTCTAGCCTCGACCTATAAACACAAAAATAAAACTCAATTATTTGCTTAAAATGATAATATTATGCTGTATAATTACATGTAGAGTAAACGTTTCAGTTATAACTTTGCAATATTTAAAATCAAGTACCATCAAACTATTTGGAATGTGAATTTGTACCGTGCGTGTTTTTGAAGTGTGTCTATCAGTACCATTTATTACTTTATGAACAATATCCGATTTTCTAGTTGTCTTACACTGAGCGCTTATTTTCCATTTCTAAAAAATAAATTTTAAATCACTTTTTGCCACTGTACCTAAAGTATGAGAAAATAATTACTCTTTCCAGTCTTATTATAACATAATCTACATTCACATTGCTGTTGTTATTTAATTTAACTGTGACCGGTATAGTTTGTCCTGGTACGAAGCCACTATAAGGGATATTGGCTTGCAATTTCATTGAGCCAGATAGAAAGCAACATAAACTGTAAGACTTTTCTTTCAATGCACATTTGGGCTCCTATAAATTGACACGGTAGACATAAATATAAATGATTTTTTAAGAAACTAAAACAACATTTTATTTTATTTTGAAAAATATTGTAAATTTAGTCTATTTGGAAATGTCATATATTTATCAGTCTGACTAGATGACATCGAGTTTCTCGCCAGAATCATTTATTCGGGTTTCGGGTGTTCAAATACCGGAATGAAAAAAATTAAACAAACGTTTGGGTTTTAATAACCGTTTTTGTTTGTAAGTTTTCAGTAGTCTAGACAAAATGTATATTTTTTATTGAAGACTTGGCCCCCAAAAAATTGTTAAACTGAAAAAAAATCTAAAAAGATTATAAATGTTATTAAAAATAAAATATAAATTCTTATCGCAAATGCGTTATATGTGTCATAGACTAAACTCGGTTTATTAATGTACTGTAGTTACATTTTTCGAAGAAATTGCCTGTAAAAACTAAGCCGGCGGATATAAGTTAACTAAAATGTTTAAAATTGGCACGTCATATTATATAGGGGCACTGAGTCCCTAGAGAATAATAATAAAATATAAATTATGATTCTGGGATTTCTAGAAAACTGGTAAGTATAGCAATGAATTATGATGTTCGTTATTAAATTATAACAGGTAATAAAGTTGGTATAAATTACAATTATTAATGTATTGTGACTTATTAGTATTTGGTCACGACTGTCTCATACGTGGTTCATTTATGTTGATAACACGTCTATATTTGTTTTATATTGCTATTGGCTTATATTTTGGTTTTCTTCTTTATATATAAAGAAATAAATTAAATATACATATATTTATTATAATAAATAAATATTTTATATACTAATTGTATAACTTATAAGAAATAACTTAGTATTAGGCAAATTTTTTTAATCGGAATCAATTAATGATTTTATTATATTTTATTTTCAAGAAAACATTTATTGAATTTATCTATAGTAAATTCATTGTAAATGTTTTCCTATTAATAGTATTGTTATTATGAAACAACTAACTACAAAATCGAACTAACCACAAGAATTATATTGTATAGATTACCTATATAGGTTTTGGGTGTTTAATTTTTTAAGGGTTTTTAGGTGTGTTATGGATTCTGGTTAATTTAGGTGCAAGACCTTGGATGATATTTTCAAATATAGTAACCCAGTTTACATTGTTGTAATATAATATAACATATAAAATAATGAACATTTAACGGATAATGTCGAGGATCTTGAGCTTATGTTTCGATGCAATAGAAATATTGAAAAATGTTTATGGCCCATATTATAAATTTCAAAAATTAAAAAAGTGAAACAAGAAAAATAATAAATAAGAAAAATAAATAATCATACAAAATAAAAGTTTATTAAGAAGAATATTTTTTTCTTGTTAAATCAACACCTAACGGCGAACTGTTTTAACAATGCTTACCCTCGTCTTTAGATGACCCTAAGATAATAGATTATCAAGACATAGGTAAAGCATTAATTATTATTCGTTAAAATCGAATCATAGAAGTGACAAATTGTCAGAATCAAAACCCCTGGCAACGAACTCACTACCCGATTGACAACAACAGAACAATTATTTTTCTAACAAACTCAAGTTAATTCTCAAGAAGCATTAAAATCAACTATACACCTGACATATTTAATCTATACCACCTTCGAAATGGTCTCTTTGGAGAAAAACTGAATCTCTTTTAGAGCACAAATTTACCATTCCTCCTCTCCGCTACCTAAACAACAATCTTCCTACCACTGACCAACAAAAGTCAGATCTACTAGGTTACCCATATTGCAAATACCTTTAAACCACACTTTTCCCCTGACGCTACTCATATACTTCAAGTTGATGTATTCAACTTTGATGTTCATCAATTATCGCCTCTGGCCATGGCACTACCACCCTCACCCACAACTCCTGACGAAGTTCTATCAATAGTTCAAAACTCAAGAATAATAAGTCACCCGGTCATGATCTCATTAACAACAAAACAGTCAAAAACTTACCACCAAAAACCATCATTCTACTCACCTACGTCTTTAATGCTATATTTCATCTATCTTATTTCCCATTCACTTGGAAATCAACACTCATTTTAGCTTTACTTAAACCAGGCAAACGACCTGATATGTCCCGAATCATATAGAAAAATCAGTCTACTACTCACGTTTGGAAAAAGTTGTTTTCAAGAAACTTGCTACTATCGCACTCAAACAAAATGCCCAGCCCAGTTTTTGATCCGAGCCAAACATGCAACTTTTCACCAACTCCACCGCGTAGTGAACCACATTGCAACATCTCTAGAAACAAAATAATTATTGCTCAGGGCTTTTTCTTGATGTAGCTCAATCCTTTGACACTGTCTGGCACGACGGTTTATTAATCAAACTTCAAAAAATCTTCAAAGCATCTTATTATCTACTTCAAAAATCATACCTATCTATATAAGAGAACATTCAGAGTCAAATTGAAAACCTCTTTTTTCAGTACACAAAACATTTTAGCCGAAGTCTCCCAAGGAACGACAACGCTCCTTTCCTATACACACTGTTCACAGCTGACATTCCTGCAACAGATAACACCTTATTAGAGACGTCAAAGCCTATGCTTACGACACCGCATCCTGGCATCCAGTCAAGAGCCCCTCAGAGGCCCCTAGTCAAGCGGCCTATTTCAAAACCATCTGAACAGCTTATCCCACTGATTCAAATAGTGGAAAATTAAGATCAACGACTCCAAATCTTCTCATGTCACTTTCTCCCTTCTCCCCGGTGACTATCCTCACATACAATTTAAGAACACAACCATTTCTTAACACAAATTAAGTCAAATATCTGCGTCTACTATTTGGCAGAAGGCTCACCAGGGGCCCCCACCTCAAAACCAAACTCAAACAACTAAATAGCCGCCAATACATCCTCAGGCCTCTAATGAAATCCAATATGTACATCTCTAACCGACTACTACTCTACAAATCCCTACTACAACCTATCTGGTCATAATAAGGAATCGCTCTCTGGGATACCGCTAAACCTTCAAACATGACCATTTATTGTATAGATTGTAAATTTTCACAAAATAAACATTTGAGAAATAAAGGAAATGACAGACGAAAAACACTAAATTTTGTTAAAAAATTAACTGTAATTATTCCAAAGCCAAAATTTTATACTCACAGATAACAGTGGTACATAATTAAGATTTATAGGAGACACAACTATAAACATCGATTGCGTTATTTCATCTGATTTCCATGGTCTACAAATTTTGACTTTTGCTATATAACGTATATATCCATACTTGCAAACAAATGTTGATGGTATAAATGATGGTAAGCGGAAATTGAATGGATAGACATATTTACCGACTTGTGATTCACCTTAGAAATAATGGTAAAATACAAAATAAATAAATACAAAAATATCAGATGAAAATTGCCAGTTTAACTTATATATATTATAAATTGTATAATCATTTTAAAATGGTGAAGCAGATACGTACTAAACTAGTCAAGTAGTAAAGAATTTACTCAAGTTTAAAATAATAATACAATAAATAATTTATATTTACCTTTATCACAAGACAGAGCAATTTCATTTTTTAAATATAATTGCTTTCCAATGTATCGATTGTCCAATTTTGTAAACGAAATCTTACATTTTCCTTTGAATTTAATTGTTACCCCTATAATATTATTCAGTAGTATTCACATACACATGCAATATATTTGAATAAAAAGTAGTTTAATAAATCGCTTACTACTTATTTTCAAAGGGTTTCTACTTAGATACACAACTCTGCCGGTAATGATTTGGCCGGGCATAAATATTGCTGTTGGTTTGTCAAAAATTAGAAGTGCATTTTCATCCACACTCATGTTAATTTCTAACCGATATTAGATATTTTGAATATTTGATATATTCGGTAAAAGTCAACTGCTTGACTGATGACTATGACTGTGGTCTATATTACAATAAAAATAATGAGTTATTGGAAATTGGAATCATCCGATCAAGATAGGCATGACTGTATCATATTATTTGCTATTAAAATATTTAAGTTGATTAATTTACATATAGGTAGTTATGACCAGCTAATTAAAGGTAATGGATATTAAATTCTGGTTTACTTTGTTTAGACCATAATATATTAGCTAGGTAGGTAGAATAATATAAGTGATGATTCGCGCCGACACAATAAACAATATAATTTAAGAAAAGAGTGGCCCCCAATTTAATTTAACAATTAATGTATATGAATAGGGCCTTCTAGCGCTCACAATTGTAAAAAAAAAAAACAATAATACTTTTTAATATTTCAGTAACGAAAAATGAATTGTACGTATAGTTTTGCACACGCAATTACCTACCGACTCGGCAACGTCCGATATACGACGAAATCGGCCGGCCGTGTTAAAATGATATTATTCGAGTAGCCAACGTGGTAACGTCCGATAACGCGTCGATGAGGTAACGTGCGATAACATCTACATACCTATTTTATTACTCACAAGACACATTATTCAATAATAATATATTATCGAAAATAAAACATTAAAAAAAAATTGACTATTGTGTGTATGCTACCAGCAATAATTCCTCCTTGACCGATAATATACATTCATTATACCTATTACAATTATTCAACGCTGCGTGGAGGCGGAAACAATTACTATTTACTACAAGTAAAACTTACACTGAACTTGTATTTCATTCAAATTACTTTGACTAATCATAATGATTTTTATCAACATTCGCTGAATAAAATCTAAAAACTAGAAAATGTCACCAAAACATCGCAGGAGGATAATTACATCACTATACAACTAAATAACCAGTGTCATCGAAATAAGTAGAAACAAAATTGTGACAATACAGTTATGCTTTTTTTTAAATTATATTGAAAGAACATAATATTAAATACATGGTTTCTAATTCTTAACTAAATAAAAGATTTTTAACTCACCCAGTAAAAAATAATAACAATAATATGTATTATTTTAGTTTATTATTCTTGAAAAAATGTATATTATGCTAATATTACAAATTAATGTCCGGTACCGGTGCTCTAAGAAAAACATGTGTAAAATTATAAAATATTGTACAACCTATAGCCATATTTTATATAATTAGTATTTATTCTTACCGTGTGGAGTGTATTATGTAGTAACTACAATATAAATTCGATGGATTCGCGTTGGCGACAAAAATAATAATGCTGCACACTGCACAATGTAAGATATAGTTTACACGTTATATAACATTTATAATGCCTACTCAGTATTTCATATTGGCGCATGGACGTAGGTAGAAAATCGAAACACGGCGATAAGAAATCGTTATTTTTCAAGTGTGCGCAGTACGCAGATAAAAAACAAATTATAAGATTATTAATTCATTATCATCAATTATTTTCAATGTCCATAATATTATGCAAATTCAATGCTCAGCGAGCGACACCGACACGACGATGTAGAAATATGGCAGTGATATCGGCTTTACAATGATGTATGGATTTTTTTCTGTAACTCTCATCGCCATTTGAAACAGACTAATACACTTTATGGAATTTTATTTGGACCTCGTATAAGAAGTAATCATGATGTGTATGGAAATTTTTTTAGCAGGAGCCTATATCTACTCGATTACATTCCGTCAGGTTACATTTTCAACTACAAAATAATTTACACGCTTTTGTTATTTTAGTGAAAACCTTTTTTACTCGATCACAAAAAGTTTATCGTGATAAATCGTAAATAAGTTGAGCAAAAGTAGAAAATTTCAAATGTCTGCGCAGTACAAAAATTGCCAAATAATTTGAAAAATACAACATGTAAAAAGAACTTTAATATCAATATTTGGAATAATATTGAAGTCTAAAATCAAAACACTAATCATTGTAAATCATTCATCTCTGAGCTGTGAATTTGAGACTAATTAAATATTTGGAGGTTATGAAAACTTAATTCAACTGGGATGAGGTAAAAACAATATTTAACGATTTAAAATACTTGTCAATGATAGTCATCAGAAATACATGAAGTAAGTTTTAGTTTATAAAATTGTCATTAAAAAGTAGGTGGATTTTTCTTTTTGATAGATGAACACCTGTTACGATTTTTGGACAGTGGCTCAACTATACCTCTAAAACGTGGGGTGCTAAATCTGTGAATTGCATCACAGAGTTGTGTGGTGGGGGGGGGGGAATCTCCCCACAAACCCCTGCACATAAACCTACAATAATAGATAAATCAAAACTTTAAAATACATATTGACACACTTCACATAAATAAAAGAAAAGAAATTAATAATACTCTTATTTTACTACAATATCAATAACATATCGGTACATTTTATTTTCATAATCTTGCTAATAAATAACTAAGACATCACACATTTTTAAATCAGCATAATTTTTCTGAGTTTCGAGCAGTATTCATTCAAAATAGTTTCGTTATTTAGCTGATTTAATAAATCTTTTTCAATATTCAGCAACGATAAATTAGTAAACCTTTGCTGAAGCATGCTTGATCTTAGCCAGTTTTTTATCCGCTGCAATATTGTCGAAAAACGTCTAACTAAAGGTGGGTGGGCATAGGACAATTCTCAAGGGAAACAACATTTTAATTTATCAATCTATTATAATATATAATTTAATAATAACTAATAAATTATTAAATTATAATTTATAAATCTATTTTTTTAAATAGTTTTCACTTTTCTATTTTCAACTCTAATCTCTACTCTCTAGTAATTATAAAATTACTTAATATTATAAATTACAATTCTTATAAAGTTATAAATAATACCTTTATTTATAATAATATACAAATACAATGAACATCCAGTTTCCGTATTTCTTTATTAAATATGTATAATTATAATTATATATAAATCTGTGATCATAAAATAAAATATTATGGTGATATACACACACACACACATATACATGGAGTATTTGTGGCAATACATAATATTTTAAGAATTGATAACTATCCATAGAATAGAAACGAAAAAAAGTGTTGTTATTTATAGCTGATAACCTGATTTGACAAACTATAAATAGTAAATAAACCAATTTTTCATTAACAAATTATAGATTCTGATCATAGTAAACAATTTTCCAAGATTTTTGACATTTTACAGGGGGGCATGTCCCTCGCTTGCTTTCCCCCATATGGGAGCGCCCTTGGTTCAAACTCAAAGTCTCGACAAATACTACAAATTTTCGCCATGGTAAACCGACAGAGCGCGTAACGAATATAGTCTACAGTAATAAAACAACGATGTGCCTAGTAAGTTTTTAAAAAAATATAAAATTAAAAATAGCAACTTAAATAATATTTAGTTGAATTTAAGTTAAAATTAATTTAATTTGTTATACACCAATATTACATTATACCACAATTTTAACTTTTCTTAAAACGACTAAACTTTATAAAATTCTATAATTGTATAAGTCTTTTTTGCTGTTTTTTCTTTTTCTACATTCTGCAAACCAATAATCATATTTTAATATAAAAAATTATTGTTTAGTTGTCCTGACATTTCGAGATGGCCTCCAGCTCCCTCACCCCATCCCAGTTACGCCACTGACAACAATATAATTTCCAATACATTTTCCATCGAAAACATGCATTATAATAATATTCACTTATTTTAATTTCTAACTTACATTAGATATTTTTACTATTTGATGTATTCTGTAAAAGTAAACTGCTAGACTGACCCCAATGGCTTTGTTCTATATAACATTAAAAATAATGAGTTATTGGAAATTGGAATCGCCTGATCAAGATAGGCATGACTGTATCACATTATTTATTATACAAATATTTAAGTTAATTATGGTCCATTATTGATATGAAATTTTAAAATAGTGACAATACTCGGTTCACCAAAATTTTAAGAGTATTTGGTGATTACGAAAATACCCGCTCTCCTGTACTCAACTTTTGGTACTTATATACGGAGCTGCAGGTAATCAGAAGGAGTCTTGAACGGTTTATGACAAAAATAGTGAATAGTTTTAGTGATTAAAATATGGTTTTGGGTAGCATATTTGATCGACTAATAAAATAAGACCACTTATTATACGAATATTAAATGGTCATTAACCTATTAAAATAAAATTTATATTTTTAACTATAAAATAATTTGCAATTTTTTGTTATTTTGATAAAAATATTAGACCGTCAAACCCTTATAAAAATAAAATGTTCAAATGTATTTCTGATGTTGTTAAAGGGCGATTGTAAATTCCGCCAGAATACCGGTTAGATAAATAGGTAATGAAATGATCTAATGTGCTTAGTAAAACTTAAAATATATCTCAACTAAAGAAGCTTAAAAATCCAAAACGATAGTGTTAAAGAACGTTATAAATAGTTATGATAATGGATTTATATTAGGCTGAGATGTACAATTTGTATCACATCATTTTATTAGTTCACAGTTCCACATATTATGACATAACATAACACACCTAGGTTGCTTGATACACATTTTATGATTATTACAATTATTTATTATGATAATACATTAATACATTAATACCTACACAGGACAGTTTCAGTTTGGATGATTTGTTCTGAAAATTATTATTTTTATTAATTTTTATATATTTTTGGGGATATTATAGTAATGTACATGATATCCGTCCTATATATATTAATTTTATTCTATGACTTGATTTTCTTTACTGACAAAGTTTCATGAACTTAATTTCACTTGATTTTTTTCACTGGCGGAGTTTACATGAACCCAATTTTACCGGTTTTTTTTCCTGGCAGAGCTTACACTAAAAAAGGTACTTATGGCGAAGTTAACATGCGCTCGTTTTCAAATATTACTGCAATGGTCTGCAGGATCGTACAATTATTGTAATATGCACGCCCGGACTCAAACACCTCTTGTCTATTTTAATATTGAAAGCTTATTATAATTCGGTAATCATAAATTAATATTAGACCACTTGATTAAAATATTATTATATTATTAGCGACAAATTAGGACGGGTCTTTCTATTTTTTCTTAATTCAATGGTCTTGTGACAGCCTTAAGACAAGCTGTTTCTATTGAATTGTTAAATTTCACTTAAATTACTATTGTTGGGATCAAGCTCGGATTAAGAGCACTCTGGGACCAAGGATAATGAATTATAGGACCACATCAATGAGAAACAAACTACAGTCCAGTACTCATCCCAGTTTAAACATTATAATTCCCGCATACAAATATAAATATATATAATAAATAACGATCAATTATATCATATTATACCTGTATTATATAATTGTATATGTATAATGTAAGATTAATCAAGGATAGTCCTTTCGTTCAATTTTAAGTAAAATACTAAAATGTTAAACTTACACAAAAATATTTTATACTTATAAGTTATTTTTATAAAATACTAAATATATCATATTATTTTTTTCAATTAAATTAATTTGATCCTTTTCATTTTTTACTATAATACTAGAAATTAAAATTTGCATAAATATAAGCAACATTAATTAGGCGCATTTCTTTGTATTGATAAAATAACTAAATAAAAAAATAAATATATATTATGTAATATTTAAATTCATATCAATAATCGTAATGTACTTTGTTAGTAATATTTTTCATTTTTTCTGTTTTAAAACGTGTAGTTTACTTTTTTTAAGATACAAAAAAATTTAGAAACATTGTAGATAATTTGAAGAAGCCGTAAAACAAAATTGTTGATGATTCCTTTCTTTTTTCTAGTATATTTGTTTGAATGTTACAACATATAAAAATATATTTAATTTTCTTATGTTATTAAATAGGTACTCTAATGTGAATTAATGTTTAACTGGTTAAATGCAAAAATTATATAAATAATGCGACTAATATATTATAAAAAAATAAAATATTTTAATAATTGTGGTAAATCAATATCTCAAAAACTAAGTTGAAAAAAAAATAAAAACATAGATATTCTAAAAATTAACTTTAGTAATTAATAAGGTCTGAAAAATAATCCGGTATATATAATAGATATTAACTGCTATAAATACTATTTTCACACGAATACATAATAAAACACTTTTCTGGAGATGTAGGTAATGTCATAAAAAAAAGTTTAAATTTATACTCAATAAAATTGTATTAGCACTAAGATTACATCGCTATGGGCTCCTTAGGTCAGCTGGGCCACTTCGGCTCTGCTTCGCTGAGACCAGGTGAAAGGATGTATATTTCAAATGACTTTAGTATGTATATTGTTGATGGGCGTTGAACGTCCTAAGTTGCAATAGTGGAAGTGATTGGAGAATAAATTTCTATAGTTAAGTGTTTATAACTAAGACATTGATGCTGGAAATTTAAGCAAAAGTAATGAAGATTTTATTAAACAACGGGGAGGCTGTGATCATGCATATCTCAATGTTTTGGACCACTTTTTTACTTCGATTGATTTACCGAAGTAATTGGCATGTTGGTGGTGGTCACTGAATGTGTAATAAACTGATTTGCGAGAAAATCGATTAATTTTTTAGACAATTTTAAGTTGCATTGTATGATACAGACCATTGATGGTTACATGTAACTACTAGTTGAGTGTGTCCAGAAACCCAGGAAATCAGCTCAATCTACAAATGGAAAAGAAGTTGTTGGAACTGATTTATAGGAACAATACTTTTGAATTGTATGTTGAAAAGTTTGATTATTTTGATGAGCATCGCTAGCAGTTATCAATGGAACATTACCCAACATTACGTTAAAAGCAACTCTTGCAACATCACATCCAATAGCCTCAACCTATAAACATGAAAAATATAGCTAAATTATTTGCTTAAAATTATAATATTATGCTGTATAATTACATGTAGAGTAAACGTCTCAGTTATAACTTTACAATATTTAAAATTAAGTATCATCAAAGTATCGGGAACTTGAAGTTTTACTACACGTGTTCTTGTAGTGTGTTTTTCAGTACCTGTTATAGTTTTATAAACAATATCTGATTTTCTTGAGTATTTATAATGACTAGTGTTTATTATCCATCTCTATAAAATACAAAAAATGTTTAAAATCAATATAATTTACCACATGTACCTAAAATATGAGAAGATGTTTACTCTTTCTAGTCTTATTACAACACAATCTACTTTCACATTGCTTTCGTTATCCAATTTAACTGTGACCGGTATAGTTTGTCCTGGTACAAAACCACTATAAGGGATATAGGCTTGCAATTTCATTAAGCCAGATACAAAAAAACAGGAACTGTGGGACTTTTCTTTTAATGCACATTGGGGCTCCTATAAATTAACACGATACACATTAATATACATAATTTTCTAAGATAAAATTACAATCCTTTGTGGCAAATAATGTAAATTTAATCTATTCGGAAATGACATATTATATTTTATCGGTCTGATTAGATGACCCTTTCAAATATAGCTACCCAACATATAATATAACAATAATACAATATAGTAATGAACATTTAATGGATAAGTATTTAATTCAATGGTTTTGACCTTATGTTTCGATGCAGTAGAAATATTTAAAAATGCATTTATATTCTGTATTGTTTATGCCTGTATTATTATCTTAAATAAGGGAAATATTATAAATAATACAATAAAACAATTTAATAATCATACCAAACAAAAAATATGCCTTTTGAAAAATATTTTTTTCTTGTTAAATCACCACTTAAGTGCTAACAGTTTGCGAAATATTTATTGGTAAGATAAGGTGACCCTTAGATGATTAGATTAGATTATCAAGATAATACGTTAATCATTATTATTCATGAAAATTGAGTCATAGAAATCACAAATAAAAAAGACTAAATTTTGTTAAGAAATTAATTGTAATTATTCCAAATCCAAGATATTTTACTTACAGATAATGTTGGTACATTATTCAGGTTTATAGGAGAAAGAACGATAAACATCAGCTTAATTATGACATCTGATTTCCATGGTCTACAAATTTTTACTTTTGCTTTGTAGCATATGTATCCATATTTACAAAAAAATGTTGACGGTATACGTGGTGGTAAATGGAAATTAAATGGAAAGACATATTTACCGACTTGTGACTCACCTTAAAAATAATGGTTAAATATAAAATTACAATAAATCAAATAATTTATATTTACCTCTATCACAAAACAGATCAATTTCATTTTTTAAGTATAATTGCTTTCCAATGTATTGACTGTTCCACTTTGTCCATGATAAAACACATTTTCCTCGAAATTTAATTGTTACACCTAAATTATTAGCATGCAGTAATATTCACTACACACATGCAATATATTTAAATAAACAAATCACTTACTGCTTATATCCAAAGGGTTTCTACATAGATATACAACTCTGCCGGTAATGGTTTGGCCGGGCATAAATGTTGCTGTGGGTTCGTCAAAAATTAGAAGTGCATTTTCATCCACACTCATGTTAATTTCTAACCGATATTAGATATTTTGACTATTTGGTATATTCGGTAAAAGTAAACTGCTGAACTGATGACAATGACTATAGTCTATATTACAGTAAAAATAATGAGTTATTAAAAATTGGAATCATCCGTAAATATAAAGAAAAATAAAACTAAAAAAAAATTGAAAATTGAAAATGTCTGAAAATAGTTCAAAATAAGTAATAATATTTTGAAAAATGTCATCAAATATAGAAAATGATAAAATAAATATTAGGTCTAAATTTCAAGTAAGTATGTGTTTATGGTCATTCGTTTTTGATTTACAACAAAATAAGAAAATCCTTCCATGAGAAATCGAGTAAATATCCAATGCCATAAATATTTCAACATCAAACTCTCAAAAAAATTTAATTTTGCTTTCCGATGGACATTTTGATTCATTTGATAAAGGTAGACAAGCTTATGAGGAATCTTGAATTACATTTTAAAATTTAAAAAGAAAAAGTTATATGAATTTGAAATTATTTAATACACTATTTCGACTTATCGTATTCGAAGACACAAAAATAAAAACATACGCTATTGTGAAATGAATACATTCATCTCTCCTCTCATAATTTAAACAAATAAGTATCAACTAGGTCCAATTTTAAACAATACTGAATACAACACCATTAATTTAAAGTACATGGTAAAAAAATAATAATAACAATACTCGTATGTATTATTTTATTACTCTCGAAAAAAATGTATTTGCTAATATAGGTACCAAAATAATGTCGGAACCGACACTTAAAAAAAAAAAACATCGGTAAAATATTTTATTATACCATCATGATGTATTTTAATATATTTATTTATTATTTCAATCCTTACCGTGTATTACGTAGTACATATACCTATAGTGTAAATTCGATGCACTCACGTTGACGACAAAAATAATTATGGTGCACAATGTAAAATATAGTTTACATATTAGGTACCTATATTACTGTGAAACATTTATAATGTCTACTCAGTATTTCATATAAGTATATGGACAAAGGTAAATTATCGAAACATAGAGATAAGAAACCGTTTTTTCACTTGTATGCAGATAAAGAAATAAATTATTAAATTTTAAATATACCCAATATTTTCACCGTTCATAATATTATGTAATTTAAATTCCGAGCGGAGCGATACCGACAATACGAAGAACAGAGGGAGCGATTTAGGTATATCGTTTTATGTGCTCATTTTTTCCTGTGTCTGTCACCGCTTTTTGATGCAGACTAACATATTTTATGGTATTTTATTTCGACCTTGTAAAAGAAGTAATCATACTGTTAATTTTATAGATGATGTGTATGGAAAATATTCGAGAGTAGCTGATATGTAATCGATAAAAATACAGTCAAATTAAATTTTTAACTTATAAAAGTTGTATATTTCTTATTTTATTTTATTACCCGCCGAAAATGCTTGCTACTTGAGTCATTAATATGCACAGCATTAACAGTCATACATTACTATAGTCTACAACACCCAACATTAACCACTATGATAAATTTATAACTGGTCCACTAAGACCCGATAACTTATTTTGACTGGGATTGAGTAAAAAAACAATATGACGTATAAAAATATTTAAGGTTTTAAAGTAATTATCGATATTGGTGATCATCAGAAATACATTAAGTAAGTTTTAGTTTATTAAATTGTAATTAATTAGTAGGTAGATTACTTTTTTTGGTAGATAAAGTACAAGTGAATAGATTTTGACAGGTAGCATACTCCACAAGTACCTAAACCAACGGCGTACGCAGGATTTTAGTACTGTGGGCCTGTCACACTTTCGAGAAGCCGCTGTGTAGAAACTTCAACCAAATATGAACAAAGTCTTAAAACTTACGTACAATTTTTTTGTGCTTATTATTAATCAACTGTTATTTTTATTCACTTAAGGTATTTAAGGCAACGAGTTTGAGTATGATTTCTGTCCCATCTGTATATCAGTGGCGTCATTCGGTGAGTGGCAAGGTGGGGAAGTATTGCCACCTGTCTGATTCTAAAAGCAGCCCGATGGGTCGGTGTCCGGTTGCTTCCGTTTAACCATTACTATATTTTATTAGCTCAAAAACATGCTTATTTTTATAATATTTTGGAGAAATATTATGTTGTGTTCTAAGAAATTGTTGTTACAGTGATAAATTCGTAATTATTAATTAACAGTTATTAATCATAATTACAGTAGAACCTCTCTAATCCGTCACCTTTGGGACTGGGGGTGTGGTCGGAACGCGAAAAAGATGGGATTATAAAAATATACAGAACATTTTTATTTACATATTACATACAAGATTATATTAGAATTTATTATACTTTACATTAGAAAAAAGTCAGTCATAGATTTTTGTTTAGCAAATGAAAACCTAGACTTAGCTACAATATTCCTCCATTTCTTGATCCTCAAAATGTCCATGGGTGATGAGGTTGAATTTCGCTCTATGTAGTGAAGGGCAATATCAAACGCGTCCTTGGCATCAGTGTGTGAAATCCGGGTAGGTGGTTTGTCACCATCACCGTCCGAATCCTCGTTCACAGTTTCTTCACCATTATTTTCCAAAACAACGGTAATAATCTGGTCGTCATTGAGCTCCTCACTAGTTTCACTGTCTTTGTTACAATTATATTATGGTTGGATCAGCCTGAGCGGTGGACCAGCCGAGAGCGGACGAGAGGGGTTCTACTGTATTCCATACCATAAAATAATCTTTTTTAAATCTCTGACCAACATTTCTGTTGATTTAATTTATTCGAACTAACTCATTTGTAGTAATATAAGTGTAAAGCATATACAACGGTAGTCCATAATTTGATGATAAAAATTTTGATTTTGGTTTATTTACTGACACGAGAACACGTCATGTATGAAACTAATATATTAAATAAAACAAAAAAATCATAATAAACTAGTCCAAACAACTTATGTGGTATGAATAGTAATATAATATAAAAGTACTATAAAAAATTCAATTTATAGTCTGGCGAAAAAAATATTTTTAGCATATCAATGTTATACACAAAAATATACAAAAATAAAGAAAATACTAGTAAAATTAAGTAAAATACTAAAATGTTAATTTTCTATAAAATAATATAACTAATTTCAAAGTTAAACTTTGTATAAATATAAGCAACATCAAAGATGTGCATTTATTTGTATTAATAAAACAACTGATTAAACAAATACATATATTTATCATTAATCTGGGTCTTACTGAGACCAATTGAAAGGATGGATTTTTGTTTATACTATTTATAGCATAGAAGACTCTGGACGACCTAAGTTGTGATGAAGACTTTCAGTAGTTAAATGTTCTGCCGTTTAATAACTGAAACGTTTGTGCGAGAAATTCGGTCAGGAGTAGGTAAATCACATTTTTTTTACCACTTCAAATTTCCAACAATTGATAAGTAATAAGAAAGGGCCTCAGATTGAGTGAACGTAGGAAAGGAATGGATTTATGGAATGATGGAAAGACCGAAGTATCTAATGGACATATTGGTGGTGGCCCTCGACATGCAGATCATTGAATGTGCTATCAACTGTTTCGTACTGAAATCGACTCAACTAGTCGAGTATGTCCAGAAACCCACGGAATCAGCTCAATCTACAAATGGAAAATAATTTGTTGGGATTGATTTATAGGAACAATACTTTTGAACTGATAGTTGAAAAGTTTGATTATCTTGATAAGTATCTCTAGCTGTAGTTATCAATGGGATATTACCCAACAATACGTTAAAAGCAACCCTTCTAACATCAGATCCAAGAGCTTCAACCTATAAACACGAAAAATATAACTAAATTCTTTGCTTAAAATAATAATATTAAGCTGTAGTATTACATGTAGAGTAAATGTTTCAGTTATAACTTTGCAATATTTAAAATCGAGTATCATCAAACTATTTGGAATTTGAATTTGTACCACATATGTTTTTGTAGTGTGTTTTTCAGCACCATTTATTATTTTACGAACAATATCTGATTTTCTAGAGGATGTATAATGAGCGTTTATTTTCCATTTCTATAAGACATAATAACAGTTTTTCAAAATCAATTTACCGCAAATAAAATATAAAAAAAATGATTACTCTTTCCAGTCTTATTATAACATAATCTACATTCACATTGCTTTTGTTATCCAATTTAACTGTGACCGGTATAGTTTGTCCTGGTACAAAGCCACTATAAGGGATATAGGCTAGCAATTTGATCGAGCCAGATATAAGGCAACTGGATCTGTAAGGGTTTTCCTTTAATGCACATTGGGGATCCTATAAAACAACATGATAGACATTAATATACACGAGTTTCTAAGGAAATAATACAAAATTATATTCTATCATGGCAAATATTGTAAATTTAATCTATTTGGGACACATTGTTATCTATCGGTCTGATTAGATGCAATTTTCAAATATAGCTACCCAACATAATATAATGTTATATAATAATATAGTATTTGAAATTTAACGGATAAGTAGAAAATTTAGAGGGTCTTGACTTCTTGAGCTTCTGTTTCGATGCAGTAGTATTGAAAAATATATTTATAGTCTGTGTTGTAATTATTTTTCAAACTTAAAAAATGAAATGTTTTAAAAAATACAACAAAAAAATAAATAAATGATTATAAAAAAGAAAACTTTCTTAAAAAGAACATTCTTTTCTTGTTAAATCACGACCGATGAGCGAAATGTATGCACCGTGCTTATTCGCATCTTTTATATAGGTGACCGACCCTACGATAATAGTTTATCGAGACATTGGTAATGCATTAATCATAATTCATTAAAATGTGTTCATAAAAATGACACATGACATGGAATTAATTATGTTAAGGAACTAACTGTAATCATTCTGAAAGCAAGATATTATACTTACATATGTTGATGGTACATCATTTAGATCTATAGGAGAAAGAATTACAAACATCAATGTCATTATAACATCAGGTCTCCGAGGTCTTATAATTTTAGCTTTTGCTGTATAACGTATACATCCATACTTGCAAAAAAATGTTGAAGGTATAAATGATGGTAAAGAGAAATGAAATGGATAGACATATTTACTGACTTCTAATTGTGATTCACCTTAAAAATAATGGTTAAATACACATAAATAAATATCAAAATAGCAGATGAAGATTCCCAGTTTAACCTATACAGAGTGTCCCGTGAGGATTTACTCATTGCGATATCTCCTGAAATAATGTAAATATCATAATTCTGGTTTTTTATTAAGACTCACAGAGATAAGCACTACAAATAATTCTGGTTTTAATTTTTTTTTATGTCTCCGTAAAAAAAGTTAAAAAACTATAATATTTTTATTAATTATTTAAAAAAAAAAATGAAGATGGCCATTTTGTAGAGTTCATTTTTCTGAAAATATTGACGTTTCAACATTTTAATTTTATTAATATCCTGATTTTTAAAACATTTTTTAGTTAATAGGTACAACCGCAAAAACCCGGGTTTTGTACGGCGGCGAGTCCCCCTCTACGGCTAATGGGTATATCGGATATCCTCACGGGACACCCTGTATGCAGTGGCGTATTTAGGGGGGGGGGGGAAAGAGGGAGCAATCGCCCCGGGCAGCAAATTTCAAGGGGCATCAAGTTTTTATTTGAAAAAATGTTACATCTTACATAATAATTTTTTTGTGCCTACCTAACTATTATATAAAAATACTCGACCAAATACGCGGAATTTCGGAAATAAAGTTTCGTTCTCGTTATTTATAAAAAACGATAGTGGTTGCAGTTGTAACCTAACCTAACCTAACCTAACCTGTAGAATTGTAGCGACGACTTTATCTGTGATGTAGATTGTAGGAAATTATTTTATGGGAAATTCAAAGAAACCCCCCTCAGCCGTCAGTCGCCAACATAACCTATTTTTACTTCGACGGCAGCGGCGTACCGCGTACGATGTATGTAATCGACTATTACAGTATTACCATTTGGCATTTACCGTAAAACAATCTATTAAGCTGCGTTTTGCTCTGGCTTTTGTACGTCCGTGGTATTCTCCTATGGTGGTATTTAGTATTTTTTTTTTTTTTTGAAGAAATCTACAACCTATACATGGTTTTTGTACAATAAGTAGGTTTGGTGAATGACAAGTAAAAAATATAATATGGGTAATTAGATTAGGGAAGATACCCAGTGGTAGCACCCTATGTGACATGAATAACAATGAAAAGAGAGAGAGAAGAGAGAAAAAAAAATATATATATGTATATAATATCAGATAATAAATAAGTAATTAATTTGAGATTTAGAGGTGTTATCTGGTAGCGACCTCCAGCATTTTAGTATTTACACTAAAGTTTTAGTCCTACACTCTGACAAATCTACAAGACAATTAAATATTTGGCATTCTCAATATTCTAACCTTATGTAGATATTGCGTTGAGTATGTATTTATGCTGTCCAGTTTCTAATACTACCGCTGAACGGTCATTTAGTGTACTGAAAAGAGTGAAGTCCTACTTAAGAATTAAGATTTTTGATGAACAACAGTCGCTTAAACAATTAGGCGATTTTAAATAAAGGATCTGAGATAACTAAATCAATTAGTTATAGTGAGCTCATTGACGATTTTGCTTCCCGAAATACTCATCGTAAAATATAAATGTTTATGTTTTTTTTGAATAAATGTTAGGTTATGTTTCTTTTAATTAAATGTTTTAATATATACGCTCTACATTATATTATGTTCTTTTTTTGATTAAGTTATTAATACAATTTGAATCTGAAAATATTTTTGTAATGATCAAAAAAAAAGGGTAAATAAATATTTAAGATTAGGGGGGGAGCAACAGATTGTATGTACCCAGGGCATCAAATGTGTAAATACGCCACTGCCTGTATACTAAAAATTACATTATCATTATGAACTGGTGAAGTAGATATATAGGTACTGCATTAGACAAGTAGTGAAGAATTTATTCAAATATAAAATAGTAATAAACAAATAATTCCTATTCACCTTTATCACAAAACAGAACAATTTTACTTTTTAAAAATAATTTTTTTCCAATGCATCGACTTTCCCACTTTGTCCACGAAAGCTTACATTCTCCTCTGAATTGAATTGTTACACCTTTAACAACATCCAGTAATATTCACTATACACGCGTAATATATTTAAATAAAAGTAAAAATATATAAAATCACTTGCTGATTTTTTTCATGGGGCTTCTAGTTAGAAATACAACTCTGCCGGTAATGGTTTGGCCGGGCATAAATGTTGCTGTTGGTTCGTCAAAAATTAGAAGTGCATCATCATCCACATTCATGTTAATTTCTAACCGATATTAGGTATTTTGACAGTTGAGATATATTTCTATTTTGATATATTCGGTAAAAGTAAACTGTTTGACTGATGACAATGAGTGTCAATCTGTAGACTATATTACAATGAAAATAATGAGATGTTGGAAATTAGAATCATCCGATCAAGATTAGCATAGCTGTATCATATATTATTTTTATTAAAATATATAAGTTGTTTAATCGTATGTGGTAGGTGAGTAATATTGTGACGTACCACATGGTCATTGGTTGATATGAAATTTTAAAATTGTGACAATACTCTGGTCATCCATCGAAAGTTTAAGAATATTTTGCGAGGACGAAAATATCCGCTCTCCTGTATACATACCCATAAAAATAGTGAATATTTTTAATTATTAAAATATGGTTTTGAGAGCATATTTTATCAGCTGATGAAAGAAGGTTTTATTACATTTTCTCGCTTAACTTATTTAAATAAAATACTTATTTTTAACTACAAAAAAATGTGCATAAATATTATTATTTGTTAGATTTTTGTAATT